TTCTTTCCAAACTACTCCTGTTGTTTTTTGGTTTGTTTCCCAACCTTATTTCTTAATTATTGCATTGTCATAGCTATAGTTTTGATAATAAATCCTTATGATCTGATTTCTTCTTCTATCTATATGTTGCAGGTCATAAATCCAAAACAAACTGGATACATGCCTTGAGAAATTCACCGCTTGGAATGAGATAAGTTTTTCAAAACTTTTATGTGTTTATATTTTGAGGTCTGATGGCTCTTCAAATTTATATAACTACTATTATATATTAAATCTGTATATGAGCATAAGTATATTGACCGATGAGTTTAAGAAAACTTTTCATCAAACTTTTTTGTCTTATTATTTCAGACATCACATATTTCTATGTTAATCTTGTCTATTAACATAACTTTTACTTGGATCTGTTTTGAACTGATGTTACGAAGTTACCCCAGTTTTTAAAATTCATTTGCCAGCTTTAAAGTGAGGGTGTAATTGCTATTTCTTTAATAAACCGACTTTCTTCAATCATTAGTATAGTAAATAATCTTTAATAATAATTGTTAGTACTATTGTTAATATTATACTTGTTATAATTGTGTTCTGTGAGGACCTATTTGGATTTCTAATCATTGGTTCTTATACCATTTCAGGTTTGCAATAGTTTGTGGAAGTAAAAGAACATCAAAGAATAGAGATCCCCAATTAAAAACTTAATAGGTTAATATAACTCCTTGACTTCATTCACCTTTTTTTTATAAAGTGAACTGTTCTGTCAAATAACCTCATCAATCTTAACTTTATTATTTATTTGAAATCACTATGTTTTAAAACTAATGTAATAATTCACTTACATTATCAGATCTGATGCTTTGAGATATATTTTCATCAAACTTTTTTGTCTTAATATTTCAGAAATGACATGTTTCTTTATTAATCATGTATATTAACATAAGTTTTACTATCTACTTTGATCTGTTGTTACATACACGCTTCAGTTCTTAAAATGCATTTGTGACTTTTAAAATCTACTTCAAACTACTTTTAATTGTTATTTCTGAAAGACTAACAAATCTACTTCAAACTAAACTATTTTTCTGAATAAATTTCTTCCAAAATGTTTTAGATAAAGCCAATCTGACGTTTATTTTATTATTGTGGGCTGTTAAGAAATACTTGGTTTTCTTAGCATTGTTCCTTAGCTTGTCCCATTTCTGGTTTGTCTACTGTGGAAGTAAAAGAACAACAAAGCGAAGAGATCCCTACAATTCCTGAAGCTTTGATTAAAAAATTTATAGGTTGATATAAATCTTTTACTTTCACTCACTGGTTTTCTAATATAACCTAAAGGACACTGCTATATGCTCAATCAATTTCTTTTGGGCCAAAGCATTTCTAAAAAACATAATATGTTGATTCTCTTCATATATTTATGTCTTTATTTCTAACAATACATATTTTGGAGCTAATAAAAATTTTTCATTTCAACCCATCTAGTGTTACTAATCACATATTCTACACTTGCTGGCATTTTTGGAGATATTGTTTATAAGAAATTTTCTTTAAAGCTACATTTCCTCTTTTAAAAGATAAATACAGTTTACTTTTTATACAATCCAACTTAACTTTTATAAGTGTATTTTAAATCTAAAGCGAAAGTTGTTTTCAGTTTTACCAAAGATGTTCATTATGTGCAATTTAGTAAAACTCTTTTTTTTTTATAAAAATACAATACTATTCTGTTTAACTGATGCTTCTGAAGTTATTTTTTCAACACTTTCAGCATTTCAATAGGAAATTTGATTATGTTAGACTAAATCAAAATCTTTTTGAGATCTATGTTAGACTCACTACACTTTAAGCGAAGAGATCTAAATCTTTTTTGCATATGTTAGACTCACATGTAAGTATCTTTTCCAGAATGTTGACTTTTTATTTTAAAAGCATATCATACAAAAGCAATACACTAAATTCTCAGAATATATAAAACATGGTAACACTGAAAAACTATGATGGGCTGCTTAGTAAAACTAAGATTTCTAAATTTTGATCCCTACTTGTTTTGGTTTATTTTCCAACCTGATGTGTCAATCCATTGTTTTGTAATAGATATATTTTTGCTAATAAATCCTTATGAACTGATTTATACGTATGTATATGTGTCGCAGCTAATACATGGAAAAGAAGCTGGGCACATGCCATGTGAAATCCACTGCTTAGAATGAGATGAGTTTTTCCAAGCATGATTGTGTTTATATTTTTGGATCTGATGGCTCTTCAAAGTTATCAACATATGTTTTACTACATCTGTTTCGATCTGATGATAAAAAATCACTTCAATTCTTAAAATGCATATGTGGCTTTCATCATCAGGCTGTAATCACTGGTTTTTAAAGATTACGTATGCATACATAAATTATACCTTTTTTCATGAACAAATCAAATTTTTATCATAACATTAATTTCAGGGAAGGTAAAAGTTACTATAACTTTCACAATTTCATTAAAACTAATATAAACTTATAGATTTTGTTTTACATTTTGTGGGTATGGTTCAAGTGTTTTCAAAATTTCTATTTGATTGCTCATTCTGAAACAATGAGAAGCCTGCCTAATCTGAAGTACACTTCTCTATGCTCGATCAATTTGTTTTCAAATTGCTATTGTTGTAAGAATAAGAACCTCCTTTGACTTATACCTTTTTGGGCAGTGCGATACATTTTGCGGTTATCCTCCAAGTAATTTCAAAATACCTATGTAATTGCTCATTCTCACAAACAATCTCTAGTATATCTTATTACTATTATGAGCTGCTTTGTAAAATTTAGATTTTTCAATTTGGGTTCTTATTGTTTACACTGGAATGCCATGTTCAAAACCTTAATTATGCATTGTTTAGCAATTTTCCAAACTTTTTTTGTATGTATTTTCAAAATTATTATGTTCTGTTAACAAATTCTTGTATTTCTAATCATTAGTTCTTTTACCATTTCAGGTTTGCCAACAGTATGTGGAAGTAAAAGAACATCAAAGAAATATCCCTTTAATTAATGAAGCATCTATTAAAATCTTAATAGGTTGGTATAACTCCTCTACTTCATTCATCTTGTTTAAAAAATAATCTGTTCTGTGAACTAAACACTCCAATCTTCACATTTTTTATTTATTTGATACCATTAATCTCTTCACTATGGGCTGCTAAGTAAAATGTTGATTTCTCAATGTTGCTACTTATTGTTTTAAGCACTGTTTTGAAGTGTTTTATTTGAGCGATTATTCCTTTTATAAAGATACATACATATTAATTTTTATAATCCAACTGTCCAGGCCCGGCAGAGTGCAAAGATAGAATCTCAACTTTTTATTACACAGCAATATTTTTCATCAGTTTCAGCTTTTAACAGACACAAATATATAATCTACACCTTTTAGCATATGTTCAACTCTTTATAAGTCTACGAATTTTGAAAGTCATAAAACATAAATACACAAAATAGATTTATAATTAATTAAATGGTACCTGGAGTACTGCTTTTAGAGCGCTTGTTTCCAATGCTCTTCCTGGTACTTGAATTTGTGACATGTTCTCGAATTTCTATCTCCTTATTCTTGTTCATCATCTATAATTACTGATTTGCTTTGTATATAAGCATAAGAAGAATCAATCTTCTAATGTTATAAAGAAATTAAAGAAGAAATATTTTTAAATTGAAACAAAGGGTGTAGTAAAGATAAGACATTCTTGCTCTAAGAAGTCTATTTTTGAGATCTACGCATTCAAGATGTTTTGCTGAATAGTCAACCGGAGATTTGCTTCTTAGAGCACTATTGATATTCCTAAAAAAGTGCTGAGTGTGTGACGTAAATGTCTCCAACCACCAAGCCACTATTAAATAAAAATCAACTGTTTTTTCAAATAAAAAAATTACTACGTACAGTTACATTAAGTCACTATTTTTTTAAATAAAAAATTACTACTTACAGTTATCGCACACTTGCAATTTATTCACAATGCAATAACTGTTCTGTACATTTTTCTTATTATTCTTTTACATTGGATTAATCAGTAAAAATCTCCTACGTACATTTTAAACAACAATCTTATTAATATTGCATCTTGTGACTACTCTATTTGTATAATTAAACAATTAAATAATGTGTAACTCACCGTTTTTTAGACATCAGGTATTTAATTCTCATATAACATGGAAAGAAAAAGCAATATTATTTTATTTTTAAGATATATTTTATAACTCATTGTATTTTGTAACACGTTGTAAAAATGTTAGTCCGTATTAAAGAGTTTAAAGATTTTTTTTTAAATTAATATTCTGGATCACTTAGAGCACTATTCGTATAATCGTTTCATTTTTTTTTCCACAATGCTGGTGCTCATCCAGCGTTTTTTTTTGTAGCATATTAAAAAATGTAAACTTAGGTTATAGTGAATGAATGTTTTAATATCCCATATTTACATTGAAAAGCGAAATAACAATCTAAAATTTTACGGTATATGACAAACCTAATATTATTTCCTTGATCAATGGGATAATTTTGTATTGTCACTATTTGTAAACTAATTTCAGCCTTTTATTTGGTAACACAATTTCACCCCCTTTTTTTTTCTTTCATAATGCAGGTTTCTACACAACTTGTTTTTTTTGTAGTGCATCAAATGTAAACTTAATGTAAACTTAGGTTTAGGGGACCCAATTGGGTTGCCCATTTATGTAATATATTAATTAGCATAGGGTTGCAGGTAATATTGTGCTGAAGACTTCAGGTACACTCACCCCCTTATCTTCGATTTCCATATAGGTCAACCATATATCTATTCTTAATCTCTCTGTTATATATGCTGATTTGTGAATGATATATAAAGTAAAACAGACATTCAGTGCATTAATTTTAAATTTAAAATTTTAATAATGACAAAGCATTTAACTTAAGAGTGATCTTAATTTTAGGTGATTTGAGTAATCAGGAAACTTGTAAATTTAAATTAACGCTTCATGTTATATTTACATTGATATGAACATAGAACAGACCATTGTGTTTACAACACATTTAGGTGAAAACAAATATAGGAAATCCTAAAGGTTTAAGACCTTGTGTGTTTGACAACACTTAGGTAATGCTTAAAAACACTGAAAAGTGGAAAGTAGGAAAGCAGCAAATCACATAGAACATAATTGAAAACACAGGCTTCGGTAGGTAGCCAGATTCTTCGTTCAGGACTTCTCAATCTTGACTTTAATTGCCCTTTTATTTCTCTTAACCATCTCCTGAAGAGTTTCTCCCCCCTTTTCTGCTCCTCTTTTACTGCATGTGGCAGTGTCACCATCTGTTTCCTCGTTGATGGTAAGGTCAATCTCATCACATTTTTCTTTGTTTTTCTTGTTCTGCTCTCCAGAGGAATCCTCCAATTCCTTAAATGTAAAAAGGGTTACATAAATGCAAAAAAAAGGTTAAAGATTTTTTTTTAAAATTAAAATAAAAAAATAAAGGTCGTTTTATTACCTTAGCATGTGAAGTTTCCCCATTCACTTGTGCTGTGTTCTCATTTTCAAGTTTAATCTTTTGAACACTAAAAGCAATTTCACCTCTCTTTGTACTATCATTTTGTACTTGAGCCAAACAAATCACTTTCTTGTCAATCAAATTTAATATTTCCAAAGGAAACCCATCTTCTTCTTTCTGCTCAAAGATATATTCCAAAAGTTCTTTATAGGTATTCCAAAACATGTCCTGATAAGTGAATTATAATCTTTCTTATCTTTCTTACCGTGTCCCCAACCATAGTAGCTGCCTTTTTCCCGAATAATTCTTGGCAAGCTGTATCCCATAGAATAAATGCAGCGTTTGCTGTTTTGTCCATAATTCTTATCTTGACTTTGTACCTGTACTTTGTTTACGGATTTTAGAGTTAGCACTTTTTGAAAGTATGCAAAAAGTTGAACTGCCAAACTATAATACTTAGTCTTGAAAATCAAACCTCATCACCGCATCACGACGGTTTTTACATGCTGGATTTATGCACTCAAAACGGCCACATTTTGGTGCCACCTTCCTTGCACATTCTCTGCAAGCCAAGTACCACCATCCATCTCCAGTTTCTATATCAACGACTTCACCGGCAACCCAGAATCGGCCATTCTATTATAAGATTTACAATTGACATAAGATATTCCATGATCCTTGGTTAAATATAATAATAGTAGAATTTAACAAAATTACCAAGTTTTCCTGGAAGAGGGATTCCATTGCCACAAATTCTTCGTCTCCCGAACCCTCTTCTTCTTCTGTGGTCACAACAATGGGTGAACCATTGTAACCCTCATCACCATGCAAGTCAAACCTGTATATGAAGTCATTATGTTTGTCTTCACGTAGGCACAGACACATCACGTCATCACTGAATGGAATGCATAATTATAGCCATACCTGTCCTTGAAGTCCAGTATCTCTTGGTCTTTGCCATTGATAATCAGCTTTGAGCCATGGTAACTGTTGGTCATGCACACTTCACCTTTGTATAGTCTTGGGTGAACCATTTGAACAACGATTACCATGAAGTTAGGAGTCTTTTCTACCCCACGCCTTATTGCGTCAACAAAATCAGCCCATAGAGTGCACCTTATCTTTTGTTGGCTGTATAGCATGTGTTTAAAATTTTGCGAAAATAATATCGTTTATTTGCAAAAAGAATTGATATTAAATTAAAAAATACATAAAAATTATGAACAACATACTCAGGGTCTTCCAAGACCATTTCAACCAATTTTTGGGTGGCTCCATTATTCTCACGTGGTCTAGGAAAATGGATTGACCTAACGCTCCCTATAATATCTGTGTGACCATCTGTCGTTAAGATTCATAGGTCTTTGTATGATATATCAAAATATTGAAAATAAGATAAGGTAGAATGGTATACCAAACAGCTCAGTCAGGTTTACTTCTTTTGCATTTTGAAGTCCAAAAAATGGTTTGAAGCTGAACATATTTTTTGGAAACGGAACGTCATGGTCAACCAATGTTGTCTTGTGGTTGAAAATGATGTTGAAAGGACAATTTGTTGTCTTGTACTTCATGGAATTAGGAGTCACAACGAAGTTTCTCAAGATGTAAACGTTTCCTTCTTTTATGCGCTCCTTGAATGTGCCAAGCCTTTCTCGGCGAATTGTGGCATGGATTTTGTCGCCCTGTGTCAATAAAAGTGAGTCAATTTGTTTAATAATTAAAAACTTTAAGTGGAATTGAACTCAAAAAATGATCATGAAATACATACCTCTTCATCGTGAAACACACACTCCATGGTATTGATCACATTTTTGTTTGTGAAAAAAGGGACTGGATAAGCACGCACCAATCTGACTTTTAGTGCCCAGTTTGTCTTTGAGGTATTAAGCTCTAGGACTCTGTTGAACATCTTCAACCTTGATATTTCAACCCTCTGCAAAGTAGCCACAGAATTAATATTCCCTATATGCTAGAAAATTTTAGTAACGTAATGAGTATGACAAAAGTCTAGTAATATACTGCGAGAGTGCCTGTGCTTGAATGCTTGAATATGATGTTTTGATTTCGGTGGTGCAGGTATATATAATGGTGTGATTGGGTGGAACTGCCTTGTCATGGCAGAAATGGTGATACGTGCCTCAGTCGTGCAGCAACTGTTCCCTCACAATTTAATTGTAATAAGAAATTAAGAATGATAAATTTCCACTTGTAGATCCAAAAAAGCCAGAACCGTTTTTTTCTTGATGCTGCCGTGATGTAATGCATTTCACCATCATCTGACACGTGTTATGCATCTATGGTCAGAGTTGGGCAGCATATGGCACGATTGTGCTTTTATATATATATAGATTATCAGCGATGAAGATGAGGAGCAATTAAGCTAGCGAACAAAACGATGGCAGGGAGGAGCTATGAAGAAGAAATGATACAAGTGGTGGACCAACGTAGAAGAAAACAAAGGAGCTGATTGGGGCGCTGGTTAGGTGATGGCATGCCATCGTCGACAATGTTGACTAGACAAAGCTAAGGGTGGAGGTGCTAGATGTTACAGTCAGCTAAGTCCGTTTGCGATAGAGATGGGGGCTGCATGTGGCAGCGAAGTTTGGGCGATGGTGGTTCAACGACAGGGACGGATCCAGGATTTTGAGTCAAGGGGGGCGAAACTTTTCGTTAGTGTAGGGGGTGATTTTTTTTGTTAGTGCAGCGGGGTGAAATTTTTTCCTCTAGTGTAGCGGGGCGAAATTTTTTTGCTACTGTAGGGCTATGTGGCTATTTTTATTCAAAAAATGACATTAATACTTGCACATCCCGAACCGGCATTTAAATCTATTACATTCTAAGTTTAGACGATGACAAAGACATCAACCAATACATTTTTAATAACTTCTACATTGTTTAACCTCATGAATCGGTTATTGAATTGTAATTTTTGTCCACCAAGGAGGGTGGTCGTGAGTCATGACTCATGAGAAGTTTTCTTAATATTACAATAGTAGTATACTAGTATGTATGAGATTGTTATTTTTAGAATAATATGCACCACATACACACACATATGGTGCATATTATGTTTTAATATTTTTATTAATTCTATAATAATTTAAAGTTTATTATCCATGCAGTAAATTATTTTTAGAAAGCAAGAAGTAAATGAATTATGTAATCTAATGTCTATAAATATTTATATTTTGGATTCATTTCACGTGATCTAAAAATTGTGTAATTAGTGTGTCTGGTATTTAATATTGTTTGATATATGTTTTACAAAATCCTGTACTTGTTATTATCTAATAAAGATAATTAAACATTACAAAACTAGGAATTCTTATATAATAAGTATCCTAAATCTTAAATAACGAGTTACTCTATTGTTTATTTGTTTAAGTTATGTAAATTATTTTAGATGTTTCTTCTTTTAAATCTCCAATATAATTAAGTATTACATTATGTAAGACTATATACTAATTTTGAAAATTAAAAGCTAAGGGGGGCGAATATAATTAAATTATGAAAGTTTTATGAAAATATTACATATATGATAAAAAAAATTGAATCTCCAAAGGGGGCGGTCGCCCCCCGCGCCCCCCCTAAATCCATCCCTGGGTATTTTATATTTTTATTATCCAAGTATAGTCACTTTTTGTCTATATTTAAAAGTTTTCCTGTTTTGTCTAAAGAAAGCTGTGAAGTAATAATTGCGTCAATTTTTCAACAATTTTTTTAGTTTAATTACACTGTATTTAATTTTGAGTCAAAATCGTATGGAAAAAACTCAGCTCCTACCAGTTCATAAGCCAGTCTTGTTTACCAATGAATTGGGTGTTTCGAGGTTAATGATTTCAGCCTAGAAACCCCACCAACATCGGCGCTCAATCCCCACGGCTGGTCCATACACATCAACTACCAATCTCCACATTTATAGTTTGCTGGATCCACCAGTCCCCTCTAAAGCTGCGGTTGTTCGACTCTCGTCTTCCTCCCCTGTTCTTCAATCATCCATCAATCCATCTTTATCTTCCTCCAACACCCACTTCGCAAATTCTCACCCTTTACTCTGCAACTAACAATATACTCTTCTCCTGGTAAGAGGCAGCTAGTAGAAGAAGAAGAAGAAGAAGCATTTCCGCAGCCCTCTTTTTCGCAAATTGGAAGCAGCTGTGTGTTTCCTGAGATGGGTTGCTCAGCTTCTCGCTCCGGGGAGCATGACTTTATCCAGCCGCAGAAGCCACCGATTTCGGGTTCCTATTCCGACCCCCTTTCTGCTCCAGTCTCGCGGTCGCTCTCTCTCCCCACCCGCCTGGTTCACCACCCGGCCGTCAGAAAAGGGGACAGCAACCATTTGGTGGTACTCACCTCTTCCACATATGGATCGCTTCTGCTAATTGACCGCCCGGAAATCCCAAACCCTAACCCTAATCTCAGTAGTACCCAGATAGAACCCGACCCGGTTTCTCCTGACTCAGTCGTCAACACGTGGGAGCTCATGGAAGGCCTGGATGAAGACGAATTCGATTTCCATGTAGTCGACGCCCCGAAAGTTCCCAGTTCTGAGAGTGAGAAAGTGGCTGTTGAGTTGAATGAGATGGTGAAATCGTATGAGTTCGTGGAGCACACCGATTCATTGCTGCCCGATGACAGGATTGTGGTGTATTATACTAGCTTACGAGGGATTAGGAAGACTTTTGAAGATTGCTGTGATGTTCGGATGATCTTAAGGGGATTTCGGGTGTCTGTGGATGAAAAAGATGTATCTATGGATTCATCATACCGGAAAGAGTTGCAGGGTGTGATGGGTGGGGAAGGAAAAGATTTGAGCTTGCCGCAGGTATTTATTAGGGGAAGACACATTGGCGGTGCGAATGAGATTAAGCAACTAAACGAGGCTGGGGAGTTGGGTGAGCTTCTGAAGGGGTTGCCTTTGAAGCAAGAGGGGGCTTTGTTTTGTGGGAGTTGTGGGGATGCAAGATTTGTGCCATGCCCGAGTTGCAATGGGAGTCGGAAAGTGTTCAAGAGTGAAGAAAGCAGGTTGAGGAGGTGCCAAAATTGTAATGAAAATGGACTGGTTAGGTGCCCTGTGTGCCTCCCTTAGGGTCTGTCTGGATGGAGGGTTTTGTGGTAAGGTTCTTAGGGTTACTCATTGTATAATGATATGTGGATTATAGAATTCTTATGAAATCGCTAATTTAGTAATCTACTAAACTTATACACGTTGCCATTATTAGCTTTGTGATTCTACTCACTTGCAGATCATGTCTTTGTTAGTAATATATTTACTAACTTTAAGAATATTTTCATGCAGTCAGCAGCCTTTCTGGTGGGCTATTTATTGGCATTATGATGAAAAAATCTTTAATTTTGCCAAACATATTAGTTATCAGACATGATCTCCAACTAATTAAGTTGCAAAACTAATAAGGGCACAAACATCTGTGATTGGATATTGGACTAAACTATCAATTTGCTCATAGTATGTATGTTATGTAATGTGATTGAAATATTGTATGATATTTTTTGCATGTTACATTGATCTTTCAAATTGTATAATCTAAAATATGTATAATGATGTGGACTATGTTCTTGAAAGCTTTCCTCTCTAAATCTGTACATCCAAACAGACCATTAGAACTTCTTGGTGAGCAGGTGGTTTCTTTGCTTTATTGCAAAGTTAGATCTCTGAATCAGTCTAAATAAGCCAAAAATGTAATAATGCTGTTGTTCCATATTTGTTTACGGAGTACCTTTCTATTTTACTGCTTTCTTCCTAACCGGAACTATTGGAATCAGATATAAAAGACAAAAAAGTCAGTAGCCAAGTGCTTGTGGGAAAGAAGGCTTTTGGGATGCTCAGTTTTGTCTTTTCTTTTTCAGGCAATGTTGCAATAATGGCTGGCAAACAACTGGTCGAAGTTTGTAATATGCCGTTGCATAAGAAGCCTAGCTATGAACATTTCAGCATCCTTTTGGTCGGATCAAGAGTCTGTTTTGTAGCCAAAAATAGCTTTCCAAACAGTGACACGGTTCCGGTCCATGATTCGGTTTTCGCATAAAACTGCACATAAGATGCGGCCGGTTCTCTTGGCTGTACTATATTCATGCCTGGTGATATCGCGATCTACTTTTGAATCTTCCATTTTTTGACCTGCATCCAGTTCCGGCTCCCGATCCCTTTGTATTAAAAGTTATGTGCAGAACTGAATTGGAGTTGATATCGATCTCCCATGATATCAATTCTGGTGATGGTCACTGATCTCCGTACGTAGCTTAAGCAAGTCAAGTATTACATATATTTAGGATACCATGACATGGTATCCATCCTTGTACTTAATAAAATAAACTTGAAATCACTTGTCTTTTTTTGAAGTAATATCAATAATTATTACTCCTACTAGATGTGTATTATGTGTAATTGTCATGTATGTAGCAGAAATAAAATGTATAAATTTGAAAATTAGATTTAGAAGGATTAATTTATAAAATGCAGTGGTGGAAATCTACAATAATGTATGAAAAACTATGAGTAATTTTGATATGGTGATTGTTGAAAAAGTAATGGTAAACATCCATTATGATTTATGATGATGATGTGTGTATTTACAAATGTGGAACTCTAACCTCTTCTTAAGCATATCAATAAATTATTGTACACAATGAATTCTCAATTAAGACACTATTTATTATTTATAAATATTTACTTGGTATTTTATTCAAATTTAAGTGTATCCAAGAGATGGCAAAGAAAATGAAAGTTTTCACAATCACTATTAATTTTTTTTAAATAAAATATTACTCCCTCCGTCCCTAAATGTTCTTCCAATTGTGGATTACGAAGGTTGACCGACGATAAAGTTAAATGATCCCGGTGAAAACTCGGATTATTTTTTAGTAAATAAAATTTACATATTCAGAAACTACATTAAACCCGCTACAAAGCCTTTAAAAAATAATTCAACTTTTATAAAATTTTGATATAAAAAGTAAGAGTTTAAGAGTGATTTAAGTTCACCCCCGATACGCGAAATGGAAGTTCTTTTAGGGACGGAGGGAGTACTATTTAAAAATAAAATATATAAATGGTATGTTATAATGTTATTAAAAGAGGGATGACATACGTTGAGTGTTCAATAACTCCTATTTAGAGATGATTAATTGTACATTAAATTGTATATATAATAGTCATCATATTTCTCATTAAATAGTGTAAATGTCAAGAAGATATGAATTGTTATCATCTTCATAAAAAATCAAAGACTAAAGAATGTTCATTTATATATTTATATTATGCTTTGTTTTCTTTTAGTTGCAACATGAAAATTTTTACATTATTAACATATTGTAGTTTGGCACATTTTATTTATTAATATATGAGATTTTTTTAAATATTATGGAATTTGTCTCATTACAAATTTTCGTGATCTAATTTTTAATTTCTTTTTACTAATAGAAAATTAAATATAATGATAATCTCTTCTAAGGAAAAATATATTTTTAACGGTCAAAATTGTACGTTAGCAAGCATGAAAATAGGAATGTTATAACTACAAATGAAACGTGAAAAGTGAAAATAGGAATGTTACAACTAAAAAACGGAGAAAATACTTGGTACATAGTACGTAGTATTAACTATTAATTAGTCTCTCCCTGCCATTATAAAATACTTTATGATGGTCCCGGATAGAGGTAAAAGTCTAAAGGGGGGTGAATAGACTTTTAAAGCTTTTTCAACTTTAAAAACTTTCCCTACTAGATATGATGATCTATAATCTTTTGGAAGATTATAGATGCACAGCGAAAGTCTTAACTTCTATATGAACAGTGTATGACAGCTATTCTATTTAGAGTAAGTGAACAAAAGAGTTTGTAAGACAATCAGATAGATCTTATGATATCCAAAATAAGTCAAATAAAGTATTTGGATGAAATTTGAGCTTATTCACGAAAGCAGTTGACTGGGCAGTTAAATGAGATGTAGATAGTTGCTAACTTAACTGCTGAGGAAAGATAAGTGTATGAGAAATTTGATTTGTGGAATCTTACTGAGAATGATGGCAACTTCTTGAGTAAATATTGAGCTGAGTGAAAGTGATAGTTTAAGAGAGCAGTGGATTGAGCAGTAGTATAGTTACCAGTAACCTATTGAGGCTACTGTGGAGTATAAGTATCCTTTTTAGAAGTCTGATCAGACTAGCATATTTGTGATGGCTTTTGTGGTATTAAGATATCTTAAAGATAGTGTAAAAATGGGCAGTGGACTAAGCAGTGGGGTGAGCAGTAGACTACTGCTGAGATGACTGCTAACGTAGTTGCTCAATTTAATAAGTGTTTGGTGTGTGCTTTGTTGACTGAAACTAAAGCAACACACAGTATATCCTGGTTCAGAGGTGGTGTAAAATCCTCCTACGTCCAGTCTCACTCTCTTTCATATGGATTTCCACTAAAGTATTAAACCCAATACACTTAGTGCCAATCTGGCCTTTATTACACAACTAGCCTAGATTGAAGGTGTTTCACAAGGAGTACACACCACTCCAAGCTACTCAATCCTTAGATTTTCTCAATTGATCCAGTGGGGATAAAAAAGTACTCTATTCTATTTAACCACACTTAGGACTTGATAACACAATTCTTCTAAGTGCTTACAACAATTTATGATTGAACAAAAACTAGCCCCCAACTAAGAACTAAACTTCCAGAATATAGCAATGAGAGGTTCTAACTTGGAAGTTTTGTGAAGCATGAGTCTAAGCAGAGAGCAAAGTTAAACATGCACTTTCACTTTTGCTAGATATCTCTTGAATGCATTATGGGATTTTCTCTACTTAGAAGGCTAAAAAACTTGGTTTTAGAACTCATGCTTCTGCCCATATTTACAGGCTTCTCCGGTTGATTAATTTCATCCGTTCATTGAGAGGAGTTAATCCTTGACGTAGAATGAGACGTGCTTTTGTCTTCTTGTGTTGGTAGCAGGTAAAGGTGATTTCCTTTATCTTCCCAGAGCCGTGTAAGGATCAATTCAGGATCATCTTTGAGATTCATTGTGTGCGTTCTCATACCTTAGGCCCCATGTAATATTCACCATTAAATGCTTCTCAGTTTGTCTTTAATCATACATGTATAGTGTATGTCGTGTACTTCTTTTGGGCTTTAGTAATTGTGACTTTCACTTTTGTATCAAATAAATTTGTACTGGTTGGATTTTAAATATCCTTTTTAAGATAACAAAAATTACCTTATTGCATTTTTAATTTCCAGTATAATTTATTTGGTACAAAAATTGTACATTTTAATTTGTCACTTTTGACTGGTTGATAGTGTACTCTTTTCATTTTCTCTTAGTACACCTAATCAACGTTTCACATGGTTACTAAAAAATTGGAACACGAAACATACAGGAGCTTAGTATAGTGACATCATCAAAATCTATCAAAATTGGGTACTAACATTCTATATATGTGGTTCTAACAAAATCACATACGGTGGAGTCATATACTCATTTTTATCATCCTTACAAAGCACGAATCAGATGACGAGTCACGAGTTTATTGAAAAAAGTGTCAAATTGGTTCTTCAATTTGTCTCCTATAACATAACGAGTACATCAACTTGATTTTTTTACTATCAGTTGAGTACATTTGTTATACCGATGTTAAAAAATGATGACTTGGCAAAAGGTCTTGCTGACGTGGTTTAAGAAGTCAAACTCAAATGTTCTGTTTCGTTAAAGCAGACTCCAATTAGTTTAAAGCTACAAGATTTATTTGGCAGCTCACCATTTTGACGAAGGGATAGTGTACTCCAAAGCAGGGCCGGCCCAGGCCAAGTGCCAGCAATCCGACCGCACAGGGCCCGTAAATCCTGAAGGCCCAAAATTTTAATAGTCCTTCTATTATTATAAACAATTATAGACCAAAACGAAAAGCCAACATGTTTCATTAGAAGTTCTGTAGCCAGGGGGTTTCGATCTCTGGTGTATATCTTACGCACGCGAATGTTGAACCAACTCAGCAATCTGGTTGATGCTGACACACTTTCATTTTTCGTTTTTATCATCAAATTATTAAAATAACCTATAAGGTTTTAAGCCCGATACTATCAACTAAAATTATTTATGAAATTAAATTACTATTTAGATATTTATCCATTTAACTCCAAACACATTTTAAATTTTTGAATTTTATTTTGGTAGTGATACATTAATTTTTAATTTAATCTTATAATCATTATTAAAATTTGCACAGGGCCCGTGTTTTCTTAGGACCGGTCATGCTCCAAAGAAAAGCTTGGAGGGTGAGGAACAGAAGGACACAGGCACCTCTGCGAATAAATTTCATAATGGAGAGTGATAAAGCACAAAAAGGTATGTTTTTGGGTTTGTGCGAAAGTTTTTGGATAGAAGGTAGGAGACTGTCTATGATACTCTGAATCGATTATTCACTTGTCCCTCTTCCCATAGAGACCTCATGGCATACATTTGAAATGACTCTCGCTAGATAGCAACCTCCTTGTCTCTTTTTTAGCCTCGTGGATGAAGGAAAGAAGAAATTAAAAGCTGCAGAATCGGGCTGTCAAGGCTCACAGGGAAGACAATAAGCACCAACCAACTCCTTCTCAACCCTTTAACCCTTATATTAGTAATGTTTGTCAGGCTGCTTGTGAAAATAGAAACCCCTCAAAGTTCCAGAAATTATGTAGCAACAGAGGAGGGATAAAAAGGTGTTCGGTTTCCTCCTTAATTGAGATGTTAATGAGAATTCTAGAATACTATTGAGATGTTTAGAATTATCTAGATGTGTGTAGAGAAGTATTGAATGTTCTATAATATTCTGGAGCTTTCTAGAGATGCGTGAAATTATCTAAATGCACGTGGAAGAGTGTAGAATATTCTAGAACATTGTGGAGTTTTCTAAAGAAGTGTGCAATTATCTAAAATCGTGCGGAAGTGTGTGGAAGCCTCTAGAATATTCTCAAGCAGTGTGAAGTTTTCTAGATCCTTTTAGAAGATTAGAGAAGTTTGTGGATATTTATTGGAAGACTCTAGAAGTGTAGTGGTGCATAGAGAATTCTAGAGAAATCTTAAAGATAGTAATATAAATAGAAATGACACTCCTCATTCCTATGTGAGCTTTGTGAGAGTCATGAGAGAGCCTAGTGAGAGGGGTTTGAGGAGAGCTCTTGAGTGAGTGAGTGTCTCATTGAGAGTGAAGTGAGCTACATATTTCAATTGTATAATACAAAGTGATATTGTTAGATTGAGTCTTTTGTTGGGGTCGTACTTTCCCCAACAAAAGGAAATAAAATGAAGAAGAAGAAAGAACGATGAAAAGAAGAGCTACAGAAAAAAGTCAAAAGAAAAAAGAAAAGGAGATATAGTCTAAAAATTATAAGCATGAATGAGAGTAAGGTTAATTTGGGTATAAAAAAATTGTTGGTGTAACATTATAGCTCAGTTGACATGTACTCTCTGCTTAGGTCTTTATACTGTCTCTTATTTGATTATTTACTCTGTTAACAAATGTCAATCATCCCCGTTAGTAAAACTAACGGTGTCGCCACTAAGGACCGCTTTCGTCTGCGGAAGGTTGCCGCTAGAGTTTCTAATATCCCGTCTCCCACTTCATCTTCTTCTTTCATGAAATCTGAGCGTCGCCGTCAGGTCTTCCATCTCTTTTGCGGAGCAAATTATGGCCGTCGAAGGATTCGAAAGCAGGGGCCTCACCTTCAATCTATTCTGCTACTCCCTCTTGTACAGTAATAAACCTCTTAACCCTTACCATTTGTTTTGCGTTTGTGTTTATTCACATGAATTTGCAGACTCCCAAAATAGTGCGGCCTTACTTCAAGTATTGTACGTCCCAGATAAATTGAATTTCAAATCATAATCTTAAACTTGCTCCCATGTATGATAATAATCTTTGTGGTAGAATCTATCAGATCTAATTTGTTCTGTTACCAACATTTTCTTCAACACTGGAGTAAAGAGAAACAACTTGAATAGTTGAAGTTTCTACTCCATAACAAGACAACAATATATGATTGACTAATTTCAAGCTACACTTTGCTTTCATTGCCTAATAGAGAGTTACATTTGGGGAAAATGAATAATGATTGACCATTTGATTGAGTTTGTAAGAAACTAAAGTTTTTAGCCTGTAGCTTGCAATGCTAAGTCCATAAAATTCAACTTTAAAGTGAAGGAATGCACCTAAAAGTCATGTAAGATTGGGTATTTAGTATCAAGATTGTGTCCCTATTCTTGGTTTCTAGATAATAGCGTAAAAGCCCCTTTAAGTCACTATTATGGTTTCCACACTAACATTACAAGATTCAGGAAAGAGATAAAGGTATATGGGAGTGATATGGTAGACCTATTTCCTTATAATAAAATATTATAATCATCAATGAGAGTTAGGGCATTTTAGGAATGAAAAAAATGTTGGTATAATCAACTAGCTTAAGGAGGTGATACACTGAGTTTTACAATATGTACTCTATTAAAAGAATTTATGTTTGATCGCTTCTCTCTGCTTTTGTTAGAGTCAAGTTGAATAGACCGCCCGTTTTGTTTCCGTCTGATCGCTTCCCTCTGATTTTTTATATTGAATAGACCGCCCATTTTTTCACAGGCTCCTAACTATCATGCATGTGGACCATATGTGCCGTAACCCTCATCCAGATCTGCTCCCATCGTTTCCGTGTTGTCGTGTAAGCCGTCCAGGTATGTTTCAATTCTATTTCTCCGTTTCTCCGTTTCTTGCTAGACTCTGTTAACTCCCTTCGTTGTCCAGGTGTTGGTGTAATGAATTGTATGATTTAGTGTGAAATATTTAGAAGCGTGTTTGATTGTGAGACAACTCTTATTGTATTTTAGAAGTGTACTCTGAATTCATATTATGAACAATCAAATTGAAGAAAAAAATGACAGGGAAATTGGCTGTCACTACAATGGGAATGAAGGGATTTCTGCAAGTCATATTAATATTGGTACAAATGTTGTTATTTTTAGCCTATTACTTCCATACGGAACTTAAACTATTAATTTTGATACAAGCTTTTGCAAATCCACTTGTGTAGTTTTTTTTTCACATTTGAGACAAAATGAACTTATTACTTAATCCATTATAACTGCAGTTAAACTATTCCTTTAGTTTCTAATAATTATTAGTACTGGCATCTACTTGGGTGTTTTATGCTAAGAGGTTTCTATGACAGTTTCAAAAAGTTTTATCAATATATGTTTCCTCCTTCTAAAATTGGTAACAACGTTTCCATTTTTAGTGTACCAACTTCCAGATATTCCCTGCAAAGTTTTGCTTGCCAGTTTTTTCCACTTTGTGATGACATTGAACTTTTTATATGGCCTGTATATTAAGGAAATCAGCCTAACTTTGAGACAATCTAAATAGCATATTTTTTAAAAGAGGTGTACCTATAGTGCTATACTTGAATATCCTTTAATTTCTTAAAAGAATGGATCATTTCAAGCAGATCCTTATTGAGCCCCTAAAGTGCCTGCCTACTTTGTCACGCCCCGGACCTCCCCGGACACGTCAACAACCCGCCGTACAATACAAATAGTCAACCGCAGTCCAACACATTCATATTATACAAGGCGTCTTGAATATCATTCACACACGTAACATTCATAAACAAACATAATAAGTAATTCATAACGCAGCGGAAAACATTGTTTAAAACAAAGGGCCACACAGGGCTATTCATGAGCACGCAGGCTCTAAAGTAAAATATCCATGAGCATGTTTATTAATGTTTAAAAAACGAATGGAGGAAGCACGAACCAAGTCTTCCCTCCTAGATGATCTCTCGAGCAACGAGCACAGGAAGCAAGCTCTAGCCTCAACCTGAAAAATGGTGGTGGGACGCCCCCGAAGGGGTCAGCACTCTATAGGGCTATAAAGTGCTGGTGTGGCAGGCATCTAATAGATATACAACAAGTATTTCACACACAAGACCCTCAAATAGGGTGATAATATAGTATAGGCCGTAATCTCAAATTACCCCTTTCAAAATATATACTTACTTTATATAAAGTCAAGTAGTCGGCTCAAAGGCCCATGTTTGTTATAAAACATTTTCCAAAACCCCGTGACTAATGGTCACGACATACGTAGGGTCCAACCCTAATACAACTTCTCATTTCTAGAGTTCGGCTCGAGTACATCATCATGCACTCGCATCATAGATCTCCTACTTCATATAATCATATCATAGATCTCCTACTTCATATAATCACACCATAGATCTCCTACTTCATAAAACCACACCATAGATCTCCTACTTCATAAAACCACACCATAGATCTCCTACTTCATAAAACCACACCATAGATCTCCTACTTCATAAAACCACACCATAGATCTCCTACTCCATGATTTCCCAATTGACACTTGAATCTCATTCAAGTTCATCACAAACAAACTCAACCTTTAAGTTTGGTTCTATCAACATCTAGAACAATCCTTAACTAGCATCACAATACTATTAAGATTATTCCTACAACTCATTTATCATTAATGGTAGCCCCTCCATATCAATAGATATGTGGCAGCCTCCCATGTGCTAAGCATCATCATGCAATCATACATTTACATACACATAACATTCATACATGAGTTGGAAGGTCAATTTACCATTTTAGCATACTTTTATCTCACATGACTCCATATTCATCAATATGGTTTCAATTTATGATCAAGTCCATTACTTATCATTCATATCATGTTCAAGCATATTTATTCACAAAAACATGATTTAAGCATTTAGGTAATCTCATGCATAACCTACAAGTTGTAAGCAACTAGATGTCGGTCCTCACCTCAAATGAGCTTTAAAACCTTCCTTCTCGATCCAATGACCAAAGCCTCGGCCAAGGAAGATTGGGAACTAGTTCCTTGCTTGAAAATGGGTTCTAAACAGCCTCCTCAAGTTGCTATTTCAACCCCTAATCGTTGATACGAAAACAGCCCCTAGAACGGGTGTTTTCCGGCTAACTCGATTCCTAGTTTTCCAATATTTGCATCTAGGTTAGTATCTAACCTTTACATCAATAAAATAACTTTTCAAGGGCATATTATACACTTGGATTAGTGTAAAATAGTCCCACCAATCGTTCATATCATTTGGAAAATGAATGGAAAGGATTTGGGATTAACAACTCACTTAGAAGAGTAAATCCGTTCCTGCGAGGTCGCGTTCTGCTCGGACGATTTGGAAGCCTTCCTCTACTCCGATTGATGCAAACTAGACCTTCACGGATTCCTCGTCTTAAGAGCTTTCTTTTGGTATCTCACACGCCTTAATTGGATTAGTAAAACTCGAGATATCAACCAAACAGTCTCAGCACTCTCACAGCTCGAGTTCACAGACCACTGCTCGTTCCAGATCGATTTTTGGATGATTACTCTCTCCTCTCGAACAGAGACCACTCAATTATAAAAATAGACTTCAAAAGCTATCCAAGGACACCTTATACACCTCATTTGGACGAGTACAACTCTCAAAATGAAGGGAGACAAAACAGCACACCTGTTTGTGCGAAAACAGTGGTGGTGGCCCCAAAATTTGATTCCAATTGTGTCATGGGCAGTGCTTCTCCATGTGGTGCGGCCAAGGTGAGTCTTCTCACATATTTTCCTTGTCTTTCAGGTACTAATATCATGTGGAGTGGTTCCCCATTGATCCCAATTAATTTGGGATCCAAAATATCTATCAATACACCCAAAAATGGAAGAATGGGTCCTATTGTTTTATCTTTTGTCAAAGATGTCTTTTTGTACTCATCCTAATTTATTTAGAACAAGTCAACTTCTTAAATCACATTATTGATCTCCAATATGTGTAGGCTCATCCCAATAATTTACTTGATGGATATTATAGAAGGAAAATCCTACTCCCATTATTTAGCTCAATAAGGCCAAAGGTGGGGTTATAGGCATTTGTATTCTTCCTTAATCATTCAATCACTTATTTTACATTTGTCATACGTATCATTGGGCTACTAGCCGTGTGGGTCACTCCCGAGTGGGTCTAGAACGCCATTCTCGAATACTTGCTATTTTAGCAGGTTGGGCTCAAAATAATATCTGGGCCGCCCGCCCCTCCTCAACTTGTCTTGAAACGTTATGTATCACTATTTAGAAAATGCTAGGCTCTTTTATTTATTAATAAGGCCCGATACTAATATACGAGTTCGAACAGTATAATAATCAATCATTAATTACGTAAAACAACAATCGTTTCACAATTGTTTGGGAATCAGAAATTCAATACATAAACTTTGAATTTTTAATTTGAATTTTCAAGGACGTTCGGGTGCGGTGTCACAAGTTCACCCCCCCTTAACAGGAATTTCGTCCCCGAAATTCACAGCTCTACTCGAATAGAGAAGCGTACTGCTTCCTCATCAAGGCCTCTGTTTCCCATGTCTCGTCTTTGACCCGATCGCTCTTCCAAAGGACTTTAACCATTGGGACTTCTTTGCTCCTCAGTTTCTTCACCTTTCTATCGGTGACCTTGATTGGTTGCACAGCGTAGTTCAAATCCTCACGTACCTCTACAGGCGGCTTTTTCAATACGTGGGAGGGATCATGTACATACTTCTTAAGCATGGATACATGAAACACATTATGTATCTTCTCTAATTCAGAAGTCAACTGTAGACGATATGCAACGGCCCCAATCCTCTCTATAATTCTGAATGGACCTATGTATCGTGGGTTAAGCTTTCCTCGGGTTTGGAATCGAATGATTCCTTTCCAAGGAGAAACTTTCAAGAATACCTCGTCCTCAACCTTAAACTCTAAGGTTCTTCGACGCTTATCTGCATAACTCTTTTGTCTATCCTGAGCCGCTTTGAGTCTCTCTCGAATCAACTTCACCCTTGACTTGGTGATCTCAACCAACTCAGTACCCTCGAGTTTGGCCATGCACACCTCCTCCCATACGATGCTTCATATGGAGGCATGCCGATACCTGCCTGATAACTGTTGTTATAGGCAAACTCCACGAGTGCTAAGTGGTTGTCCCAACTTCCTTGGAACTCTAACGCACAAGCCCTCAGCATATCCTCTAAGATTTGTATAACCCTTTCAGACTGCCCATCCGTCTGTGGATGGAAAGCAGTACTGAACTTCAACCTCGTTCCCATAGACTCCTGGAATTTCGGCCAAAACGTGATGTGAATCGTGGGTCTCTATCGGATACAATGGTCACTGGGACCCCATGCAGCCTCACGATCTCATCCGTATACAATTTGGCTAACCTCTCAAGTGGGTAGGTAGTGTTGATAGGCAAGAAGTGTGCACTCTTCGTGAGCCTATCCACAACAACCCAAACTGCATCATAGTTCCGAATTGTTCGTGGTAAACCTACCACGAAATCCATAGTCACATGTTCCCACTTCCATTCAGGAATGGAAAGTGGTTGTAACAAGCCTGCTGGATGCTGATGTTCTGCCTTAACTTGCTGACAAGTAAGGCATCGACTAATGTATTCAGCTATTTCCCTCTTCATACCAGACCACAAGTAACTTTCTTTCAAATCACGATACATTTTCGTGCCCCCCGGGTGCATGGCATAAGCCGATGAATGAGCCTCCTCTAAGATGGACTTTCAGAGCTCATCATCTGACGGTACACACACTAGGTCACGAAATAACAAGAGACTATCATCTCTTTCCCTGAAATGCTCCACCGGTCCCGCTTGCATGCGTTCCCGGGCCTTTATAAGTTCTACGTCAGCCTCTTGACCCTTCTTGATCTCATCAAGTAAGGTCGGCTCACCTCGAATCGTGCTAATAAGGCACCGTCGCTAGATACATCCAATTGGGCCCTCAGTGCCCTCAAACTAGTCAACAATGCCCCAGACGAACTCTTCCGACTAAGGGCAACTGCTACAACGTTTGCCTTACCTGGATGGTACTCAATAACTAGATGGTAGTCCTTTATCGGCTCCATCCACCGTCTCTGTCTCATGTTTAACTATTTTTGAGTAAACACGTACTTCAAGCTCTTATGATCAGTATATATGTGACATGTCTCTCCGTAGAGATAATGTCTCCAATTCTTCAGTGCAAACACTACTGCTCCCAGCTCCAGATCATGGGTAGGATAATTTTACCTCATGCTTCTTCAACTGTCGTGAAGCATAGGCAGTTACCCTCCCCTCCTGCATCAACGCACACCCAAACCCTTGGATGCTCGCGTCACTATAGACATCGTACCCCACACCCTGTTTGGGTAATGCAAGTACCGGTGCCTCGGTCAATCTCTTCTTCAGTTCGATGAATCCTTTCTCACATTTGTCATCTCATATAAACTTAGCTCCCTTTCGAGTGAGCTTCGTCAATGGCGATGCTAAAACTGAGAACTTCTCCACGAATTATCTGTAGTAACCCGCTAGCCCGAGGAAACTACGAATCTCCTTCACGTTCTTAGGCCTTTCCCATTATGTGATAGCCCCAATCTTCTTGTTATCCACGGCAATGCCTGACTCAGAAACTACATGCCCAAGAAAGCCAATCTCTTTAAGCCAAAACTCGCACTTAGAGAACTTGGCGCAAAATTGCTTCTCTCGTAGTGTTTCAAGATCCAGGACCAAGTGCCGCTCATGTTCTTCTTCACTCCTTGAGTAAATTAAGATGTCATATATGAACACAATCACAATTCGGTCCATGTATATATGAAATACTCGATTCACCAAGTCCATGAATGCCGCTGGGGCGTTTGTTAACCCAAACGACATAACAAGGAATTCAAAGTGCTCATACCTTGTGCGAAAAGCACTTTTTGGTATGTCATCTTCCTTAATCTTCGGTTGATGGTAACCCGACCTCAAGTCAATCTTTGAAAACATAGTCGCCACTCGTAGTTGATCAAACAAGTCATCAATCCTAGGCAAGGGATACCTATTCTTGATTGTGACCTTGTTCAGTTGACGATAGTCAATACACATTCGAAGTGTCCCATCTTTCTTTTTCACAAAAAGAACTGGTGCTCCCCACGGGGAGTGGCTTGGTCTAATGAAACCATTATCCAAAAGCTCTTGCAATTGGGTTTTCAACTCGTTAAGTTCAGCGGGTGCCATACGGTATGGCGGTATGGAGATTGGTTTGGTACCAGGCTCGACCTCGATCACAAATTCAATCTCCCTATCAGGTGGAAGCCCCGGTAGGTCTTTAGGGAAGACATCCGGATACTTACAAACCACCCTCACATCATCGATGCTCGTTTCCTCTTTGGTTTTGTCAACCACGTATGCTAGATATGCGTGGCATCCCTTTCTCATCATACTTCTCGCTCTCACGGCGGATATGATACAGCTATTTGATCTCCCTCGATCGCCCTCGAAGCGTAGGGTCTCCCCATCATTGCCTTCGAGTTTAAGAACCTTCGTGTAGCAATCTACCCTAGCATGGTTCCTTTCTAGCCAATCCAACCCTAGGATTGCATCGAATTCAATCATGCTCAGCGGTACGAAGTCACACGTCAAGGTTTGACCATTAACTTCCACCCCACAAGATGGATAGTAATGAGTTGTTTCCACGTCATCCCCTAGTGGTGTTGATACCACTAAGGTTTGCATCAATGGTGCGGATTGCACTTCCAAACTCTTGGCGAACGCTTCATTCACAAATGAACGTTGCGCCCCGGTATCGATAAGGATTCGCGCATCCTTCCCATTAATCTTTAGTGTCCCTACATTCATGAACCATGTAAGACATCTTTCCTACCCTCCCTACTCATTTAGAGAGGTTTATTATGTTCACACACGTGTTTGGGATCAAGAACGGGTCTTAACGTTGCAATACGGCGCGAAAAAGTCGACTTTGGGCTGTCCAGGAGGTACGCACGGCGTGCCTAGGAGGCACGCACGGCGTGCGTGTCTTATAACCTCAAAACGGAGCTACTGCCACTAACGCACGGACCAACACACGGACAACGCACGTCCGTGCGTATAGCAATTTCTTCCCGGTTGCTACTGCCACCAACGCACGGACCAACGCACGGACAACGCACGGCCGTGCGTATAGCAATTTCTTCCCGGTTGCTACTGCCACCAACGCACGGACCAACGCACGGACAACGCACGGCTGTGCGTAGGGTCCAGCCTGGTGTGCATTGGCGGAAATCAGCCGTCTTTCGCCCGATTTCGCTCCGTTTGATCCCAAAATTTCGTGCAATGATCCCAACGATTAGTAACCTTAATTTATGGACTAATTAAGGATAAAACACTAGTATACGGGAGGCAATACCTGCAACGGAATCCGGGTTAGCTTGAGCATCCGCCTCTGTCATCGCATAGACCCTAGCTTGGGTCCTTCCTTGGTTCACGGATGGCGCATTGCTCGTGCTTGCTCCCCCATGTCCCCTGCTCCCTTGAGAAACCTCGGTTTGATTTTCATTTCTTGTAGTTCCACCACTTGACCCCGAAGTTTGGTTTTGCACAATTTGTGGGCAGCTCACTCTCGTGTGCCCGACCTCTGTGCAATGATAGCACTTAGGAGGGTCGTGACACTTACCCGAGTGGTGTTTCTTGCAATTGTTGCACCTAGGTACCCTCGGACCCTTTGACCTCGAGTTCTGGCCACCCGAGCCCCGACTCCACTCAAGTGATAGTGTCTGCGCCCTGAAGGTTTTGTCACCCTCAACGTTTGTCCTTCTTGAATGTCTTTGGGAATCGTTGTCTCCCCACCTCCTTTTCCTTACTAACGGTATGCCCTCAGCTTGCCTAGCTTGGCGTTTTTGTATAAGCCTCACACGTTCACGTTGAAGCCAATCTATGACCATGCCCATTTGTTCAATGGGTGCACCATCAAGGTTCTCATCACTCAAATCATCTCCCTCGTCACCCGAAACCTTGAGTGTTTCAATTTTGCTATGACAAGGTGATTCTTCATTGGTTCTAACATGACCGCCACTCACGATTTGAGCTTCTAGAATTTCGTGAACCTTTATTCCTACGGGCTTTTCTCGGTTGGCATGCCCGGTTCCACCCGGTGCAAACCCTTCCGAGTTCTCCCTATTCATAGTACCACAATCACCCTCCATCACTGAAAGAAATAATTGGAATGAGTCATTAGACTCGTTTCAAATGTCAACTGACAGATAGGTACTTAAGACATCTCTTGGGCCAAGTCGCCGCCATACCAATCGTTAAGGGCGCCATCTTAACAATTAGAGGCCTTGCAACTCAAACACCAAAAGTTCTCAAGTACAAAACGTTTTTGCTCATGGTTTTCAAAAATCATTTTGAAAAGAGAATTTTGAGACTTCATTATGAAGTTTATGGACTAAGGCTCTGATACCAACTTAATTGTCACGCCCCGGACCTCCCCGGACACGTCAACAACCCGCCGTACAATACAAATAGTCAACCGCAGTCCAACACATTCATATTATACAAGGCGTCTTGAATATCATTCACACACGTAACATCCATAAACAAACATAATAAGTAATTCATAACGCAGCGGAAAACATTGTTTAAAACAAAGGGCCACACAGGGCTATTCATGAGCACGCAGGCTCTAAAGTAAAATATCCATGAGCATGTTTATTAATGTTTAAAAAACGAATGGAGGAAGCACGAACCAAGTCTTCCCTCCTAGATGATCTCTCGAGCAACGAGCACAGGAAGCAAGCTCTAGCCTCAACCTGAAAAATGGTGGTGGGACGCCCCCGAAGGGGTCAGCACTCTATAGGGCTATAAAGTGCTGGTGTGGCAGGCATCTAATAGATATACAACAAGTATTTCACACACAAGACCCTCAAATAGGGTGATAATATAGTATAGGCCGTAATCTCAAATTACCCCTTTCAAAATATATACTTACTTTATATAAAGTCAAGTAGTCGGCTCAAAGGCCCATGTTTGTTATAAAACATTTTCCAAAACCCCGTGACTAATGGTCACGACATACGTAGGGTCCAACCCTAATACAACTTCTCATTTCTAGAGTTCGGCTCGAGTACATCATCATGCACTCGCATCATAGATCTCCTACTTCATATAATCATATCATAGATCTCCTACTTCATATAATCACACCATAGATCTCCTACTTCATAAAACCACACCATAGATCTCCTACTTCATAAAACCACACCATAGATCTCCTACTTCATAAAACCACACCATAGATCTCCTACTTCATAAAACCACACCATAGATCTCCTACTCCATGATTTCCCAATTGACACTTGAATCTCATTCAAGTTCATCACAAACAAACTCAACCTTTAAGTTTGGTTCTATCAACATCTAGAACAATCCTTAACTAGCATCACAATACTATTAAGATTATTCCTACAACTCATTTATCATTAATGGTAGCCCCTCCATATCAATAGATATGTGGCAGCCTCCCATGTGCTAAGCATCATCATGCAATCATACATTTACATACACATAACATTCATACATGAGTTGGAAGGTCAATTTACCATTTTAGCATACTTTTATCTCACATGACTCCATATTCATCAATATGGTTTCAATTTATGATCAAGTCCATTACTTATCATTCATATCATGTTCAAGCATATTTATTCACAAAAACATGATTTAAGCATTTAGGTAATCTCATGCATAACCTACAAGTTGTAAGCAACTAGATGTCGGTCCTCACCTCAAATGAGCTTTAAAACCTTCCTTCTCGATCCAATGACCAAAGCCTCGGCCAAGGAAGATTGGGAACTAGTTCCTTGCTTGAAAATGGGTTCTAAACAGCCTCCTCAAGTTGCTATTTCAACCCCTAATCGTTGATACGAAAACAGCCCCTAGAACGGGTGTTTTCCGGCTAACTCGATTCCTAGTTTTCCAATATTTGCATCTAGGTTAGTATCTAACCTTTACATCAATAAAATAACTTTTCAAGGGCATATTATACACTTGGATTAGTGTAAAATAGTCCCACCAATCGTTCATATCATTTGGAAAATGAATGGAAAGGATTTGGGATTAACAACTCACTTAGAAGAGTAAATCCGTTCCTGCGAGGTCGCGTTCTGCTCGGACGATTTGGAAGCCTTCCTCTACTCCGATTGATGCAAACTAGACCTTCACGGATTCCTCGTCTTAAGAGCTTTCTTTTGGTATCTCACACGCCTTAATTGGATTAGTAAAACTCGAGATATCAACCAAACAGTCTCAGCACTCTCACAGCTCGAGTTCACAGACCACTGCTCGTTCCAGATCGATTTTTGGATGATTACTCTCTCCTCTCGAACAGAGACCACTCAATTATAAAAATAGACTTCAAAAGCTATCCAAGGACACCTTATACACCTCATTTGGACGAGTACAACTCTCAAAATGAAGGGAGACAAAACAGCACACCTGTTTGTGCGAAAACAGTGGTGGTGGCCCCAAAATTTGATTCCAATTGTGTCATGGGCAGTGCTTCTCCATGTGGTGCGGCCAAGGTGAGTCTTCTCACATATTTTCCTTGTCTTTCAGGTACTAATATCATGTGGAGTGGTTCCCCATTGATCCCAATTAATTTGGGATCCAAAATATCTATCAATACACCCAAAAATGGAAGAATGGGTCCTATTGTTTTATCTTTTGTCAAAGATGTCTTTTTGTACTCATCCTAATTTATTTAGAACAAGTCAACTTCTTAAATCACATTATTGATCTCCAATATGTGTAGGCTCATCCCAATAATTTACTTGATGGATATTATAGAAGGAAAATCCTACTCCCATTATTTAGCTCAATAAGGCCAAAGGTGGGGTTATAGGCATTTGTATTCTTCCTTAATCATTCAATCACTTATTTTACATTTGTCATACGTATCATTGGGCTACTAGCCGTGTGGGTCACTCCCGAGTGGGTCTAGAACGCCATTCTCGAATACTTGCTATTTTAGCAGGTTGGGCTCAAAATAATATCTGGGCCGCCCGCCCCTCCTCAACTTGTCTTGAAACGTTATGTATCACTATTTAGAAAATGCTAGGCTCTTTTATTTATTAATAAGGCCCGATACTAATATACGAGTTCGAACAGTATAATAATCAATCATTAATTACGTAAAACAACAATCATTTCACAATTGTTTGGGAATCAGAAATTCAATACATAAACTTTGAATTTTTAATTTGAATTTTCAAGGACGTTCGGGTGCGGTGTCACATACTTGCCAGGACGATTCCGTCGCCAATAGCCATCACGGTGTTGTCGTTCTTGACCTTTATCGATGATGAAGCCCCGTTATGTACTCCAGAATGGTTAGACATTTTACTTTAGTTATTGAAGTTGTAATGTAACCCTGGCCATTTTTTATTTGATGATTGTCAATAGGCTTGAAGAGTTGAAGACCCCGATTCAGATGAAACTAAAGAGTTTGTGGAGAGACAGATAAATTTAACTGATTTTCGTTCTCACAAAATGTGATGCTAGAGAGAAGCCAAGGGAAAAACTTACCAAATTGAATAGTCATCCCAAATACGAGTTTCTATTTATAGTAGGAGATAAGTATTTTTACTTTTGCAACGGCGGGCTTCAATCACAGAAAATGCTTAATGTGGTCTATTTTTTATTGGTTTGATATTGTGAAGTTATTGTTTTATTTTGTTTCCTTCTTTTGATGAGCGATATCAAACTCATGCAATTTGGTGGTGGCCTCATAGTTGTTGAGGTAGTGAAATTTTGTGCTCCGTAAAGCCGTTTCTATTGTGGTTCAAAGTAAGTATTCTTGGCTGCATGCCTCCCTATACCCTCCATCCCTATTCTTGAACGACTTCTTTAAGTTTAAGGACTTAATTGAGTGCTTTTAAAGTAGGACTTAATTGACTTTTTTTGATATAGTAAGATGACTTATTTGATAGTTTTCCCAAGTTTTTAATGATTTTATTTTATATCAGTTTCCAAATGTTTTCTTGATCAATCATCTCTAGCCTTTGGTTATTGATAGTTTGTGGAATGAGATGTGCTAGAGGGTGTTATTATGGTCTGTCATCAAGCATCGTTGAGTAAAAACTATTGCCTATTATAGTCCATTTTTGCTCAATAATTTAGTTGGTCTTACAAAGTTTTTTAAGAAATTAGAGTTAAGAGAGCAATAATGAAAAGTAGAGAGCGGATGAAAGTATGATATTTATGTTTATATAGACTAACAAATAAGAAAAATCTCTAAACTTATAGAGTCGAGCAAGTAAAAATAAAATTAGATAATTAAAACTGAACAAATAGATTCATTTATCTCGTGATTTCCCCCCTGAATTTGGTAAATTTGTAGTCAATCGCATGTTCACATTCAGTCTTCTTATTTTGGTGTTTGAGTGAAAGAAAGAATCAATTCATTTTTGAATGGATTGATTAGTTTGGTAGATTTCATTCTCTCAATTCTCAAGAGATTCAATGTTGAAACCATATAGCTTCAAGGAGGAGCATATGAAAGATTGAACCAATGCTTTTCAACACTTTGATGGTGGAAAAATATTATGTATAAAGTTTGTAATTTCAAACATATCAAGTGTAGTGATGAATAATGCTTCATTCGATTAATCTATCGAAATAGCATTGGACATTTTCCCCTCGCGCATCGCGCGTTGGAAAACTAGTAAAATCCTAAAAGGTAATTAGGGTTTGTATAGTGATTATTTGCTGCCACGAATACTAATGGTATAAAGTAAACGGATCATTTGTGTCATATCATCTTTATCTTTTTTAACGTGATAATCAAATTTGTATTTCATTAACACAAAAAAAACAAGTTTAGATGGAAAAAGATCTTGTAGGGATAGGACCCACGCAGTTAATATATATAAACAGCGTAATATTTTTCAGAAAATCATTTGACTGCCTCCCCGGTTGAATTTTTAGCTGAACTTTGGTATGAATAAACTAGACTTGACGTAGAACATGCTAAAAAAGATTCATCAAATAACTTCACCAGAAATCGCTCCAAATGACGACGGCCAGACGGCGAATCCTATCCCTCCGGCTAGACAGAATCATTACTCACTTTATTGTATCGCTTGCTAGATGATGCTAGTAGAGACAAATCAATGTACTAATTTGACATTTTTTTCGGAGTCTATTAGTCCGGTCGTTTAGGGAGTGTTTGCAACTGCTTCAGCTTAAAAAAAAGCACTTTTGGAGATGTAAGGAAAAAGTGATTAGTAGGAAAAGTTGATAGTGTTTGAGAAAAAAGTGATTTTGAAAAGTAAAAGTTGATAGTGTTTGGTAAAATAAGTCCTTTTTGTGTAATAGAAAGGGGAAAAGCACTTTTCGCACGCAAGCTGAGAAAAAGTAAAAATTGGTAGTGTTTGGTAAATAAGTGCTTTTTAAAGCCAAAAGCTGAGAAGTGCTTTTTTTTAAGTGATCGCAAACACTCCCTTAGACGTTTACCAAACATGAGTATTTGACTATTTGCCCCTAAAATAGTTAATCAATTAGTTTGTGGAGTTTTTTCCCGGAATAATGCTACTTAAATCAATAATTCCCAAAATACTGTTGAGTTAAAAATAATTCCCAAAATAATGTTGTAGTAGACCATGGTTAACAAAACCGCCATTTCAAATGGCGGGTTATTAGACATTCGATCAACTAAAAATCACGCCCAGCCAAACAAAAGGAATTGAATAATGGGCCCCACGTAATAAAATTCCCCCTCTTTATTTTGAACTGCTGTAACTTTTTTATTTGTACTCGGATTGTTACAAAAAATATATCAAAATTTATAACTTTTTATTATGTTTCATATGACACCAATATTGACTATAAAAAATAAAAATAAAAAAGTTAACAATTTCACAAAAACTTTTGCTTTTTAAAGTATTGTGAATTTTTTATTTTAATTCCGATCGTTACAAAAAATATATCATCTTCATGATTTTTTATTATCTTTCATATGACACCAATATTGCATATATAAAAATGAAAAAAAATTAACATTTTTTTTAAAAAATGTTTTTGAGATGAATCTATAGATTTTGTTTTCATTAAAGAGGTGAGATATGTCTAGGTGCTGAAGACTGCGCAATACTTCAATGTTCGTTGAGTTATTACCCATTGAGCCTCTCTTTCACCCCTGTCCATAATCCTTCTTCATTGTGAAATCAGTCTACAACAATTATTTTAACAAATCGCCCAAGTAGGAGTAAGGCGTGAACATAGTAAAAGACATACGGAGTATGTAGTATAACTATGCTTTACTCCAAAATATGATTTATTTAGTCATAAAAAGAGAATAGAAACAATAAATTTCATTTTATATATGAAAGACACTTTTATTAAATTGCCTAATTATTTTTTCATTTTTATATATTCAATATTGGTGTCATGTGAAAGATAATAAAAAAACATGAAGTTTGATATATTTTTTGTAACGATCGGAATTAAAATAAAAAAGTTACAATACTTTAAAAAACAAAAGTTTTTCTGAAATTGCTAAAAGAAATTATTTTTATTTTTTATAGTCAATATTGGTGTCATATGAAAGATAATAAAAAGTTATAAATTTTGATATATTTTTTAAAAAATCCGAGTACAAATAAAAAAGTTACAGCAGTTTAAAATAAAGAGAGGGAATTTTATTATGTGGGGCCATTATTCAATTCCTTATGTTTGGCTGGACGTGGTTTTTTGTTGATCGAATGTCTAATAAGCCAAGTGGCGGTTTTGTAAACCATGGTCTAGTACAACATTATTTTGGGAATTATTTTTAACCCAGCAGTATTTTGGGAATTATTTATTTAAGTAGCATTATTTCGGAAAAAAACTCTAGTTTGTGGGTCGTGGGTCGTGACCCATGTGAAAATGCAATGGTTAACTATACTCCGTATTATTTTTAAAATTAATTAATTACTGTTGAAAATCCAACCAAACGCACCTGCGTTTCCAACACACTTCGGAGTAATCTCTAGCATTCAAAACCTACTTATCTGGCGGAGGGCAATCCACTGTCGTTAGGGAGTTGACTGGTCTGAAATGGCAAGTTCCAGCGTGGGCGGGTCGGAGGATTTCTCAGTGCTGGTACTAGCATCAGACTTGGGTATAGACGCCCGACCGTTTTTATCTCAATCGGAGCAAGAAGCCGGAGAAGAGAACTGGCATGACTGCCCATCCGACGCACAGGAAGACTTCTCCGACCTGGATGTCCTCCAATTTTTCCGACTCGAGCGGGGATCGGATGTTGCTGGTAATCGTATCTTCCGGATCGTCGGCAAGTACTTTCCTGGTACCTCACTCGAGCCTTCACACCAATCATTTAATTTCCTTTTGTCGTTTTGTAAACTATATCGGATTGGATTATTGAAAAATAATTAATGATGGTATTTGCTTGAAGTGGTTTCTTTCGAGATCAAGCAGTCTGGTTGATTCATGATTGCTTACAGTAGTATGGTTCTGGACTTCATTATAATATCTGTATGACTGGTTCACAAATAGCAATTTTGGAATTACATAATCATCTTTGGATACTTGAATTCTATTGTATGACCTGGATACCGGTTGTGTGTTTAGATTCTTCAACTCAATAATACTTGGTATATTCTAAGCCATTATTTATGCAAATTAAATTAACACTTCTATCATACTCCTCTTTTCAACTCCTCTAGAAAATCTGATAGCTTCCATCTCTTGGATGACAAATAATGAAAATCTAAGAGCTTGTAGCTCTGATGGCTTGAGCCATACCATAAATAGATGGCATAATCGATGCCTGGTTGCAAAATGCTACCTGCTAGCCTTTATATCTATAAGTTTGTCTCTTTATTCTAGTGCTGCTCTCTAATGAGACAGAATGTGTGCAGCTCTTGTAATTAGTGCAGAGCGGCTGAGAAGGTATGTTCTCCAGAAAATTCTCAAAGAGGTGCCACAAGGGCCTTTCTGTATCGTGTACATGCATAGTGCCGTGAAAAAGGAAGACAACAATCCCGGCATGACTATATTGAGGTGGATTTATGAAGATCTCCCTTCTGAGCATAAGAGTCGGCTTCAGGTTCTTTACTTTATTCATCCTGGGATCCGATCACGGCTAGTTATTGCTACGCTTGGCAGGTTCTTCCTAAGTGGAGGGTGAGATTCTTGTCTAAATTGTGTTTGCAATTCTAGAACTTTATTAGTAGCCAGGCTTGCTTTTGTTGGACATCTGTGAAACATGAGTCTCTCTACTTTTACTAAACTAAAAACAAAAAGCAAATTTACAAATTACACAAATACCGGCTTGCAAGTTAAACCTCAATGGCTCCAAGTACATGCAAGTCTCCTCTCTTTGAGTTAATTTGTGGTCAGAATATAAGATGTTTTTACTTGGACCGGTCTCAGTCTTAGACCACAACATACCAAACTAGACTTAAACAAAACAGACTAGACCAGATCAGTCCAGAATAGAAAATTCCAATCCCATTAAAAATATGTTTAATTGCATGGATTTCAATAATATGGAGTAACCATGAGCGGAGATTTGAAGACTGGATTGAGGGCTTAGAGATCTCTAGGGCGGGGTTTACTTGTGTTGATTTGGGTTGGACCTTTTCTTCTTCTTCTTTTATTTATCTGTTTTTGCCTACTTTTATTTCAATCTTTTCCCTTCCTCCTCTTTGTACTTTCTTTTGCTTATTATCAATAAACTTTCCTTTCCTAAAAAATAAAATAAAATAAAATAAAATAATATGGAGTAACATGTTTGGGATGACCGGGTATTCACTCAATTCCTAGAATCACTCAAGCCTCATGCATTGGATGTTAATGATGCCTCCCATTTCATGAATCCACAAATTCAGATATTCCTTGATTGGGAAAAGGAACAAATATACGTTTGAACTTTATTTGTGAGAACAAATATACCCTTCAACTTCATTTGGAACATTTAAATGCCTTTTTTAATTTGGAACAAATATAAGGGTATCTTTGTTCCCTTAGAGAACTATAGACCCCTTAGCTACATATAAGTATATAACAGAACATATATACCCCTTAACCATTTGGACATGAGAGTATATTTGTTCCAACTTTACACGTTTTGTGTTTAACTGTTCCAAATGAAATTTGAGGGGTATATTTTTCTCTAACATATAGTTCAATGGTATGTTTGTACGTTCTCCCTTTCTTGATTCCTGGTATTTTGAATCCAACTGTACACTGACTATGCTATTTGTTGGGATTTTGGAGCACCGGGAAGGGAGGGGCAATATTTATTTTGGAAAGACAAATTATATAAAAGTTCATGATCTAAGAAACACATGCACTATGTCCCTAAAATAGCTTCACAATTGCCTGACATAGAATTATCTTCAATTTCCTCCCTATACACCCTTGTGGTGGGTCCAATCCCTCGCCTTCCAGGGACACCAACGTGCACCGGGGTTCCCTTTTTAATAAATTTCAAAAGCAAATGAGAAGCTATTTGAGGAGCCAAAGAGTAATTATTTTATAGTCTGACAAAATAGAGAAGAGTAGTAAAACAAAAACCAATCATCCCCTGAACCAAACAAGCCCTTAATGTTTAGAAGCAGTTATGCTTTGATAGAAACTATAGGTCCCTATCATGCTTGTCTGTTTCTACATTCTTAATGTTCTTATTGTTGTCTTTGTGCTTGTTTATGTGTAGCCTATATTGGAAAATTAAGTATGTTAACCGGCTTCAGTATCTTTGGGAAGACATAAAGAAAGGAGAGATTGAAATTCCTGATTTTGTGCAAAACCACGATGATGTTCTGGAGCACAGGCCATTGACAGATTACGGGATTGAACCGGACCCATTGCATTTGAATGAGATGCCTGCTACTGCCTACTCCTTGGGGAGGTTTGACTCTAGGTGGGCATATAGAGAGGCCATGTCGTGAGATATCAGCTATAAGTTCCGACAACATAACTTGTTTGTTAATTACTATAAAAGCGTGGCAATGCTTGATGTGCTTGTTAGGTTTGCCAATACATCAATAACCAGAAATATGTATCACCTAATGATAATATCATGGTGCTTGTTCGGTTTGAATAATGTGTTTTGGTTCTTGTAAATTAGGGATGGACTTGCCTTCCGGTTCTTAACAGGTATAGGTGTGTGAGTACTCGACCAGGCTATTATGTGCATGTTTGGTAGGCATTTGTCGCTAATTTTTAGCTTTTTTACGACTTAAAAATTCGTTGTATGTTTGATACGTAGTACAACATTTTAAGGGATACCATGGGCGGATCTTGATAGCTGAAATGATTAAATTGATTGAATTTGTTGAAATATTGGAAAATATATATTTAAAATATACTCCGTATATTTTTTTTAGAAAAATCAATATTTTTTTTTAAAAAAAATAGGTAAAATAATCATATGCAGTAACTTTAACCAATTCAATCAGAAAAATAATTAATAAGATTGATCAGCCGAAAAACAGGATTGAACCTTTAAGCATGTTAGGTTTATTCTATTCCTTCGTCCCTTAAAATCATACTACGTACAATTTTTATTTTATTATTCTCCGTACCAGTCAAACTTAATAAAGTTTTGAGCAATTAAGGTATTAGAAAAAATTCACATAAATAATCTGAACCATCAGTGATCTTCTCATATTAATCATTTAATCCCAATTATCAGTAATTCCAGTATAATCTGAATTATTGTGGGTACCTTCTCAAAATAAACTGGTGACCTACATGAACCAATTGAGCAGGTCACCCGGACACGTGTTCTATTGTTATTGGCTTACATTTTATTCTATTTTTCCTTTTTCTTTTTTGCCTCTTTTTCATCTTTTTCTCACTGAAGTTTGGGCGGGCATACGAGCTTTTCAGGCGAAACGCCGGCTGATCCTTGTTCAACCATCGCCAATAAGGCCAGTCACTGGATGTAAATCTTTGATGACCGACCGTTCGTTGCAGTGGTTCTTCGATGCCGGCTGTCCGTTCATCCGTCCGTCTTTATGGTCGATGCACCGTCAATCCCTGCTGTTCTCCAATGCCGTCCCCCGTCCATCCCAGCTGGTCTGGTCTCCAACGTCTCATGATTCGTCTATCGCCCAATCATATAAGTTTCATCATCGACTGCTACGAATAATGTAACATTTGAGGTGGATTGACCAAACTAAACCTTCAAAATATGAGATTGAAAGAATGAACTGCGAATTTAAGGTGCAAATTCAGAAAGAAAGGATGGCGGAGGGAGATTTCCATAGGAGGTGGAGTAAAAAAAGTGAAATAAAACAAAAAGGAGAAATCTGATTGTTTGAGAAATGAGGAATCACAGGCAGTGAAGAAAGTAAAGAAAGTCCAATGGCGATGAAGCAGTGTGAGAGACGACGAGGAAGCACGGTTGTGCATCTTTTTTCAATTTTCTTTTTACTTTTTAACCCGTTTAATAGGTTCCAGGTAACATGGATCAATATAGGAAGACCACTCGTATATTTGAGATTATTTCAGAATTACGTATATGTAAGATTAATATTAGAAGACATCTAATAGTTCAGATTATTTATGTAAATTTTTCCACTCATATATTTGAGATTATTTCAAAATTACTTATATGTAAGATTAATATTAGACGACATCTAATAGTTCAGATCATTAATGTGAATTTTTCCAAGGTATTACTACATACTACTACAAGTATTTTATAGGAGTACAAGTATACCTACACGATAATAGAGGCAATAAATAAACAAGGAAAAGAAACACTCGTACTACGGTCTACGTATTCCTGAGATAAGACTTTCGCGCATGGTGTGACTCATAGCCGCCTAGACTTCGCCCACAAACTCCGACCCGTTAAACCAAACGACATCCCGCGGCCCGGCGATGATTTCCATTCACCGAAACTTTTCTCTCTCTCGTTTCCCTTCTCCTTCTTGAACTCTATTTCTCCTTCCTATTATTATGGCTTAGAAATATCTCCTCAGTTTGTTACAAACCCTAGTTGCGTCTTCTTCGTTCCCCCTTTATCATAGCCCTACCCTCGCAAGCGTATGAAGTTTGACTGAATTGACGTAATCGGTGGGGTTGTCGTGGTTATTCCGTCTAGATCTTGCAGATCTGCCCTCGATTTTGGTAAGCTTTTCGATCGAACATCAGAATCCTTTATACGATCAATTTACACAAAGAAATATTGTTGTTGCCTTTCTCTGTTCGCGTATTCATATATTATATTATGGGGTTTTATGATTTCTTCGATAGATTTGGGGGTTTTAGTGTTCGGATGTCTCGAATAAATTTGACAGTGTTCCAGATTGATCAAGGCACCATAACACGACTGGTTGGATCTAGGTTGACTGGGTGGGGTCGATAGTTTGGTAGGGCAGTTTGAGCTATTGACTTAACATTATTACTGTTAAATTGATTTAATGAGATCGTTATATGTCTATGTTGTTCAGATTATTATGGCGCAGACGCTTTTGTTAGATCATGTGTGTAGATTTGAGGGATACCACTTGCAACCTTGAGATTGTTAATTGGGTTGTTATTTTTTTTATATAATAACTGCATGCATTGTGAAATGATGTGTACTCTAGCGGTTTTGCGTAAGCCTGTTTATGGTGGTAGGTACAGTTGGGGTTGAAAACTTCATATAAAGCAACTTGAACTAGCTCAAGGCCTTTACATATAAGAAACAATTAACACTTTCTTTTGTTTTGTCTGCATTAGTGTTGCATCAATTCTAGGGATATGCTCAAAATTGATATGCTTGTAGAGTTGTAATGTTTTGTTAAGGTTGGAAGGAGGGTTGTGGGGATGGTGCCCAGTTCTTAATATTATTTGTTAATTTACAACATTTTGAAACGAAAGCTTTGGGGCATTGTTATTATCTTATCATTCAGGATTCTAATTGTATAGACGGGTTTATGCATTGGCCTGTTCGCTACCCCTTCAAAGCTAAATGAGATATATTCCTGCAGATCAAGGGTATTGTGCCCCCCTGCTTTCTGAGCTTGTAAACATTGCTTCTTTTGATGGATAATGACCATTCCGATGGATAATAGTGTTGAGCATTCATCTAGTGAGCGGGCTCAACGCCTCTTTAACAAGGTGTGCTTTCTTTCATATTACAGTTGTGTTACTAGACCAGGCATTTTATTTAGCATGCAAATTGTGGAATAAAGTATTTGGTATTACTTTTTGTTCTTTAACAGAATGTTGAGTTGGAGAATAAGCGCAGGAAAGCAGCACAAGCCAGAATCCCATCTGACCCTAATACTTGGCAACAAATGCGTGAAAACTATGAAGCTATTATACTTGAGAACCATGCATTTTCTGAGCAACACGAAATTGAGTATGCATTGTGGCAGTTACATCACAGGAGAATCGATGAGTTGCGTGCACACTTGAATGCTGCTTCATCTGCTTCAGGATCAACCACTTCTCAGAATGGTAAAGGTCCTACTAGAGGTGGACCTGATCGGGTCACAAAGATTCGCATGCAATTTAAGATGTTCCTATCAGAAGCAACAGGATTTTATCATGATTTGATGCTAAAAATCAGGGCGAAATATGGTCTTCCTCTAGGATATTTCTCAGATGATACAGAAACTCATGTTCCGTCATTCAAAGATGGAAATAAATCTGCTGACATGAAGAAAAGCTTAATATCGTGCCATCGATGTCTCATTTACCTGGGTGATCTAGCTCGTTACAAAGGTTTATATGGGGAAGGTGATTCTAAAGCTCGGGACTTCTCAGCAGCATCAAGCTATTACATGCAAGCTTCTTCTCTTTGGCCTGCAAGTGGCAATCCCCACCATCAGGTTCTCTATTCTGTCTTTCTATTTTGACTGTAAAATGTGCTGGTAGAATGATCTCTAGTAGTTTTCAGTGATCGAATCAATTTAACCCAAAATTTAAAAAATTATCTATTACAATTTTTATGTCTTCAATCTCGATGAAAAGAACTGGCTCAACTTAGCACTGTACCATTATATTGTATGGTAATACAGTAATCACAAGAGTATCCTAAACCAATTAATAGATGGCTTCTTTTTTAGCCTCACCATCTATTAGCTATTACTGAGCGTTTTTTTGTCTCATAACTTGAGAATAAAATGCAACATTCTTCATCCTAATGTAAATCAATGTTTGATTGCTTAGCAGAATGTATTCACTAGGGTATTTTCCTTTTGTGGTTCCCAGTGACTTATCAATTGTCTACTTTCTCAGCTTGCCATTTTGGCTTTTTACTCGGGTGATGAATTGGTAGCAACCTATCGATATTTTCGAAGTCTTTCTGTGGAGAACCCCTTTACCACTGCAAGGGACAATTTGATTATTGCATTTGAGAAGGTAAACTAGTAAACTGCTCTTCTGGGCTTATAACTTTTTACATGAACATCACATGTTTATAAATCCCCCCCTCTTAAGTTCTGGTGATGTTATCATACAAATAGAAATGCTAGAGCTGCAAATCATGCGGCACATCAGTGCAAAATTAAATGTGATTCATAATTTCGCAGAATCGTCAGAACTATTCCCAGCTTTTGGGAGATGCTAAATCCTCTGTCAAGGCTGCACCTGCACGAGTGGCTGGAAAAGGAAGAGGTAAGGTTGATACAAGACTTTCACAAAAAGAAGAAAGGCCTGAGACCCATGCACTGAAAGATAAAGCATCAAGCGTTTCTGACGTATTCAAAGTTTTCAGCACAAGATTTGTCCGATTAAATGGGATTCTCTTTACACGAACAAGGTATCTTTATTGTCTCACTCTCAATGATTCTATTATATTTGACGCGGCCTTATATTTTGACATTTTTTTTTATCTTTGAACAGCTTGGAGACATTTGGAGAAGTGCTCACTGTGGTTAGAAGTGATTTGGTTGAGCTTCTTTGTTCAGGACCAGATGAGAAATACAACTTTGGTTTGGATGCTGCGGAATGCAGGCTTACAGTGGTTAGGCTTGTTGCTATCCTCATATTCACCGTGTACAATGTGAATAGGGAAGCTGAAAACCAGTCATATGCTGAGATTCTTCAGCGCTCTGTTCTTCTACAGAATGCTTATACAGCTGTTTTCAAGTTCATGGGTCATGTGGTTGAGAGATGTGGTCAGTTGAAAGACCCATCATCAAGCTATCTACTGCCAGGTGTTATGATTTTTGTTGAATGGTTAGCCTGCCATGAAGATATTGCAGTAGGCAATGAGCTCGGAGAAACACAAGCAAAAGCTAGATCTTTTTTCTGGAACAATTGTATCAACTTTTTAAACAAATTATTATCTAGCGGGGAAAAGTTCAT